ACGTAGATGAAACAGTTGAGGATGCTCATTCCCGCACAGGCAGATTGGGACAATTAGAATTGAGATTGATCCAACGATGCAGGAAGAGGGGTCATAGTGCCCTGCCTCCAGATGGATGACCCAGAATTCAAAAGCACCATGTAAGTCAAACTTAATTAGAATGAGAGGACAACTTCCTATCTTATGTGACTGTGATTGTAATACTGTGTAGAATAAAGACTTCTGTAGCATCAACTGGAGTGATTGCTTTTGTTGGGAAGGAAGTCAGCCGCACGACATCCAGCATAAGTCACTCAGCAAGGTGGTCAAGTCTGTTTCCATGCCAAACCAAGCCAAAATCTAGATTGGAATGGATCCAAACAGTTTCCTGCAAAATCACCTAGAGCTGAGATGTCACTGTCTTCTCCAGAGCTTTGGTCCAAGGGTGGTTACAGACTATATGGAAGTTGCTCCAGATGATCAGGTCTAGGCTTGGCTTCTCTGGCTTCTTCCCTCCCTCAAGAAAGCATTCACTACCATAGAGGTCCAAGTCCTGAAACCCACTCTGGCAGCTTTGATATCCATGATTTGAGTGCCCAAAGATCAAGTGGTTGGCATCCAACCTCCAAGCAGTCCATTAAGGTTGATAAGCAGTAAGATATCCATTAAAACATGGTTGGACAGGCTTCTTACTACGTCAGCTGTTACTTGTTTGGCAAAACAAGCCAACCCCTCCCCCACTCCCAGCAATTTGATTTTCATTGTGCTATGCACATTGCCAATTAGTGACAGTGCACTTTTGAGAGCTCTATTATCTGCACTCTGGGCCCCTAAGACACCTTTCACCAGCAAAAACTTCTGCTGGACAACATTTAATAGTGCATGAGTGCAAGTACTGGATATTTTTTTAGCTGTCATCTCTGCACCAAAGTACTGTGCTTGGTTGTGCTCACAGCAAGCTTTCCATCATCTGCATTTTTGTCAGTCCAATCATTCCATCGCCCTCAGTTACTCAGAGTACTAAACAGCCAATACAGCCCTGAAATCTGGACAATATTTGGAAGTGTTTGTGTTGTTGACTTGAGTCATCACTCCACACCAGGACCTTAACAGGATCATTAAGATTTTTTTTAATGCTCCCTCAAAGACTTTATTAAACCCTATTGATTTATTAGCTTCTGGGCACAGACCATTCAAGTTGGCCTTTAACCCCCTATGGAGGCTACAGGTAACCAGAAGGTCCAGCTTGACTGGACCCCATTTCTGATTCTCCCATCCATAAATCATCCTTTCCTAGTCCTGCACATAACACTAATCTCCTGTGTGTAGTGCGTGACCTGGCACATATGTTGGATCTGGTACGATCAGAGAGAAGCTCATGCAGTAATGGTCAGCTATAAAATCTTGAGCTGCTACAGACAAGGCAACCCTGGCACAGATATTGACATCCCCAAGAATATCAGCTTCTGGTTTCTCAATGCTCTCTTTTCAAACACCTCCATCAACCAGGGCAGGGGGACTGTTGAGTAGTAGGGAGAATGGGCAGCAGCAGAATCCCAAAATGTCTTTGGTTCCCAATATCAGGCTCAGACAATCAAAACTGGCAGACTGTGGAACAGGGTACCTGCCCAAGGAGGTTAAATTGTTATAATACAAGCCTCAAGCTGTAATTGATGGTGTACTGATAAACAGGTAGGCACATGTGGGAGAGATTAACACCCTTGTTCAACCAGGTTTCAGTCACACAAGTCATTTTCTTGGATGAGGCAGTTGATGGCAAAAGCTCTTCCCATGAAGTGGCATTTATTAACAGTACCTGCAGACTTGGGATTGCAGCCAAGTCACTAGCATTATCAAAGTTGAAAGGCAGGCTAGAAGAGAGAACACATAGATATCTAACTTGATTTCTCCTACCGTGTTACCTCAGCCTTTCTGTCCTATGCTCTATCGCTCTTATGACTATCTCACCACTCTCCTGGGCTTCTTATTTTTCCCTTCCAAGTACATACCAGTCTCTTCAGGCTTTCTAAGGCCTAAAGTAATGTTGACTTTTAACAGACAGGCAACACAGCTTTTAAAATAGTTTAGCTCACACGGACTAACATCAGCTCTAATCTTTCATGTTCCAGATGAAGGCAAAAAAGGGAACAAATTCTATTCTTCAACCCCACCCAACCTGACTAACACAACTCACACCTGAACCTCACAAGAGGAATCCTCTTCACAATAACTAAGCCCTTGGCCTTTGACACCCCCACCCCCACCCCCACCCCCACCCCCACACACACACCCAGCAACATTCCAAAGGGACAATTCTCTTCATGCAACTGATACAAGTCACTGAAAATGGCAAAGTGCATGAAAAATGTTTGTATTTGTTTGAGATATTATTTAGTTTAAGAATTCATTTCCCCCTCCCAATAATGCCTATTTTATCCCATCAGCCCAATGTCTAAGCACATCAAAGACACCATTTAGTGAAACTGGGATGGCTGTCCGATGTCTGATATTCCACAATTTCACTTTAGACTTTCAAAGCCAGGCTCTGTCACAAACAATAATTATGCATGTCTGAATGGAGTCAGTTATTGCTTACACTCTTTCAACCGATTAAACAGAAGCACCTTTTGAATCATTTAGAACTAGGCAAAACCAGAGTAGCGGTACACAGCACTACAAGATGATCCCAAGAGTGGCAAAAAATAGGGAACATCACCCCCACCCCTTTTTGTGCAGATTCCTTCTAGCTTGACAGACTTTTGATTTAGGAATTATTTAATGGATATCCAGTTGAAGAGTTAAAAGCATCCTTCACATTTTATTAAGACTGCTAACTAGAGTTAGCACATTTAAGGAACATTTGAGATTCTAAAATGGTACTGAAATTCAACAGCAAATGGCTGCTTTTCTGCATTGCCTTAGCAAAGCTTTTTACACTGAGTCTGGATTTTCATTACGACTATGTCATTAGTGGTAGCTCTGGGGAGTAGTTGGTTCCATGTGTGCTTTTATGTAGCTTATTGCTTTATTTATGTGTTCAATTTATATCCCACCTATTTCTTTTTTAAAGCACTCAAACCAGCTTACATCATCTTTCTTCTCCATCACTCAATTTTATCCCCACCACAACTCTGTGAGGTAGGTTGAGCTGAGAGTCCATGACTGGCCCAAAGTCATCCAGTTGGCTCCAGGGCTGAGCAAGAACCCAGATCACTGGCACCCCAGACACAATCTCTTAACCACCACACTACACTGACCCTCTAATTTTAATTTTTGCAGTTAATTCTTTTTAGTTCTGTGCATCCTGTTATGTATTTTTATCTGATAGTAATGTTTGAAATAAGTATCAGTAAGCAAGGATAAATACTAGCCATCAACAAATATGATAATTGGAACCCAATTAATTATTCAGCTATCAGGTGCAAAGAAAGATAGATTTAAGATGAGAGGGGCTTTGACTGATTGACTAGTTATTAAGTAGTTCCTATATAATCTCTGATGAAACTATGCAAAACCAAACTTACTTTTGTCTATGCATTAACAGAAGGCCCTTTGACTTAACTGTTTCTACCACTATAATTAAGTATAAACAAAATCAAAATGCTTTAATGTCTATGGACACTTTTTCTGGAACAGAGCTGCAAACCCTAAAGTGCTTTTTATTCAGGACTCCAAGTCATATCCTTTTGAGTGGAAATGGTGAAGTGGCACCTAAGTTCCAGCTACTCTGTATTCGTGTTGCCCTAATGAGTATGGTATTGGCCAAAAAGAAAGGAAGAAAGAATCTGGCAGTGCTCTTACATATCAAACATACTTAACTTTAATTGCCATTATGAATCAGAATATAGCCCTGATTCTCCCAATTGGGCTAATCTGATCCCTGTTTTGAGACAGAGGAAAGCATCTACAGCTCAGATTTCTGCAGCCACTTAGCTAGTTTTCTGAAATTTTAGGTTCAACAGCAGCATAAGAATGAAAATAATAGTCAAGCTGACCAGATGATTATGATGTCTCTCACTTTGGCCTCGAAGAGCATGTTTCAATCACCAAGTAACTTTCAATCATTCTGGAGTGCAAGAAATTGTGAGAAAACCTCCTGAGGTGCCAAAGGCAGTCAAAGAACTGAGGGAAATGGTGAGAGCCCGACCCTTTTAAAATAATACTGGGGTGAGACAGGGGTTCCCACCAAAATGCTCTTAGCTATTGGATATTCCTAACAGCCTCCACACAGGCAGAGAGCCCATGTGTGTGATGTGCAGAAACCATGAAGCAAAGTGTTTCACACACTGGCTACCTCTCAATCATTTTGCAATGCAATATCTGATGTGACACAGGACACATACTTTGTACCTGAGCTAATCATAACTTTTACAAACTGAAAAGAATGAAAGAGTTCATCCTAGGTGATTGTTTAAATAATGCTTCTGTGATCTTGACCTTAGGAAGGTAACATAGAAATAAACACAGAAGCAGAAATTAAAGAAAGCAGATGGTTCTGGACTATGCTATGTCCAGTATTTGAATCTCTGTACAGAATCTTTGTTGAACACATTTCTCTAATTTAAAACTGATCTTCAAATAGTTTTAATTCATACCTGAGTTGAACATCAGATGGCTTGTGAAGAGGTTAATTACCTAAGTAAAGCTCTGAATGAAGTTCTACTTGGGTCACAAACCTACTTAGCTGGGACTAAGCCAAACAGACTGCAACTTATTTCTGAGTAAGTATGCATAGAATTCTACTGTCAATCTCACTTTCAATGAAATGGTTGCAGCCATAACAGTGTAATCCCCTACATGTCTATTCAAAAGTAAATTCCATTTACTGCAATGGGATTTCCTCAGGATTGGATCAACCTCATACAATTCAATGAAATGTATGAAACTTCAGTTAGTCATGATCCTCTTTAACTACAGTGAGTCTAATCCTACTTATGTCCAAGTTTGGATCATAAAACAGAACATTAAAATGGACTTTTACATCAAGAACATGTTTTAAACACGGCAAAGGTAGACTTACAACAAGCCTTCAAAGCATCTTTATTATTTGAAGGATCTATAAACAACAAATTAGAAATTATTATTTGAAGGATCTATAAACAACAAATTAGAAATTATTATTTGAAGGATCTATAAACAACAAATTAGAATGTGATTACTGCTCAACTAAAAAAATAAAATCTAGTGGTATACTTCCCAGCAAAATCAAACTGATGGCCCTACAAAGAAAGTTCACCTGTGAACCTGGTGAGGTAGTTGGGTGGGGTGGTTAACAAGCTTCCCAGTGACCCAAGAAAAGACCATGGGATCTGAGTGGTTTGCTATCCACCCCAGCAAATGAGGCAGAATGCACAGGAGTGCTTAACAGGCAACTGTACTTTATTAATCCCCTGTGCTCATGCATTTTCTGATTCGTCATTGTGCCATTGCAGTCTTTATGCCCCGTCTGAAGTATTGGTTTGTTGCCAGAAAAAGTCTTAGAATTAGTTTGCTGTTCTTTGTGCTGCTTTGTTTTAGCTTGAAAAATAGCCAAATTGGCCTTTCTTCATAGGAGTACTATTTTGTCTCCTTTTTGCAACCCCCTTTTTTCACAATGAAACAAATTATACTTGTTTTCTTTTAAAATGCAAAATACAAAATGATGCAGTTAGAAAACAGACAACTTGATCCTTTTTCACAAACCGAAAGTATTCAAGAATTTTATAAAAATTAAGTATCAGTGCATAAACCTAAATTTGCTGGTTTGATTTCAGATACTGTTCCCAGCACTGTCTTCTGTTCAGTACACAAAAAGTTTCATTTATATTCAGCATTTCATTACCACTGTATTTACAATGAACAAATAGTAAATTGTGGCAAAGTGAATGACTCCAAAGACAGTCTTTTCATCTTCAAATATTTCCACAGTTAACATAATGAAACAAATTGTTTCAAATATTCCATCCTATCCTCTGGAACAAATAGATGATTCCATTTTCCAAAATTAATCCATTCAAAATGGCCACCAGACAAAGTTTTCGACATAGGTTCAAAGTAACTGCAAAAGAAAGGAAACATGGGATGGACTGCATTCTAGCAGGAGTCCTACAATGACTATATTTTGATAAATACATGATGTCTGTAAATAAAATCTTTAGGAACATAGTTAGGAACAATATGTAATTCTAACCACATTTGCAACTGAAAACATTATATTAATCAATTAAAGCTTTGTTTAATTAGTGTGGATGTAATCCTAATCAGGCAAAGCATTGTGGAAAGCATGTTTCTTTTTCAAAGCTATTTGCTTCTGGTACATTCCTACGAAGGAACATAAAATGCTCCATATGATCTTTCTTTCCAACCATAAAGAGGGGTATTTGTTTATTAAAGTAACTGACAGAGCAATGCTATATTCCCTGGGAGGGTGACTGAAGAGGCCCTGGAAGGATGCTGCACTAGTAGAGGCGAGTCCCACCAGCTGAACTACATATCCATCAACAGAGGTTTCTCCTGCTTGGCAATGGAAAGTTCTGCTGATGGGTAAAACGCAGACTTCTGGGGGAGGCTGCGGATCTGAAGGCTCCAAAGCCTGTTATACAGTCTCCAAAACTACTGTGAGGTAGGAAGATGCGGAACTGTAGGGGAAAAATGGAGAAAGATGCTGCTTCCCAGCTGCCACTATATCTGTGCAAAGCTTCAGATGTGTCAGTAGCTCAGCTCCAGAATTTCTTATCACCTCCACAGGATTAGTTGTTAAACTTTTTTGTTTATCCAAAAGTGTACCTCTTTTAAATTTGGGGTTTATACAAACTTACATTTAATCAATTCATCTATGAAATAACAGATAAGAACAGCTCCAAATTCTTTAACTGGCTGACAGCCCTAATTATAAAATCTTAAGAATGCTATGTAATAAGCCTTTTATTATTTTCCACAATATTAGTATTCCTATTTATATAGTTTGAGGTGGCTATTTGTCATTCCTTTTTAAGACAATGCTTTAAGAACAGTAGTGATTCACTTGTATTTAAATACGTATTAACTTGGGACAGATGCAAAAATATTTACAATATCTTATTAGAAAGAGAGAAAGATAAGAAAACTTGAAACTGGGAAAAGAAACTGGATTTAATAAATTCTAGTAATGAAGAACATTCAGTTGCAGGACATAGTATAAGTCTGACTATTGAATGTAAATAACTTCTTTCAAAAAATGATCAGTTGTGCAGTACCTTCCCTCTATGGTTGACAGAGTCAGCCTACATAAAAATAATTATTTTCTGAATGTATGTTAGTTATGCAATGCAAACTTCACAAACAAATGAAAAAGTATTAGGAGAAAATAATTGAAAATAAATAGCAAAAAACTGGATACAGAATCCCTCCTGAACCAGAAGTGATTTTGCTTGAGCTTCTTAAAGACTCAGTTAACAGAGAGCATCAAGAACAAATCTGGAATATATTAACATTCCTCTGGCAAAGAACTGGAAAAATGGATAAATTCCAGGGCAAGCAGAGTGGTTCATGTATGTATGGAACACCATATATATGAATAAACTGTCCTATTAATTTTGCCTTGGAGTGTCAACAAATTCTAAAAAGAAAAAAATAATATTCCTTTGGAGCAATGTGCGACAGTTGTTATAGTATTTGCTCTGTTAGAATCGAAGATTAAGTTTCCAGGCTTTGCTATCTTACACATACTGTACACAGTTCAAGTTTTTTTCAGGTCTGCTGTTAGGTACTCCAATCTTTCTCCAGCCCAGTTTCCACTCTCTGAATAAAGTTTCCTTTTCTGATCTTTTACACTTTAATGCTGGATTTCTGTCTCAGTTTCACACAGCTGAAACTCTGAAACTTGAGTTGACAGTTATATGCATGAACTGAACAGAGGTGCCGAATCCTGACCTACTATATTTCTTTCTCTCTTTCTTTAGTTATTTCTATACTGCCCAAAAGTCAAAGCTCTCAGTGTGATTCACAACAATTAATAAATTACAAAAGATAGCACAAGAGGATAGAGTAAGTTATACTTGGGACTTAATTATACTGGGAGAGTAAAATATAGAACAAAAAATACCTCTAATTGCTTGGAAATTTGATGTCAAGACAAAAACTTTAATGAGCTTGAGGCACAAATGAGTATAGTCATGTTCCCAAATAACAGCTGGAATCAGCAGAAGTTTTCCATAGCTGGATAGTACCAACGCTTTCAGAAGAAAGGTGAAATCTCCTTTGGTTTTCAGAACTACAGGTTTTGCTAACCACAGAGCAGAGAAGATGCCAATTAAGAAAGCAGTTTGTTCTGAATGAAAGATAGGAACAGGCAAAAATAAGTCATTTTGAGAAATGGTTGAGAACATAGAATGTTCCTTATACAATCGAACATAGAAAGAGGCCCATGCAACATTTTGCTACACATACTAACAAGATGACCTTAAACAAGTATAGCCTGTATTGGATTGAATGTGGAAATTGGTGTTTCTTACCTCAGACAGTGAACAGGTTCATAGAATGGGAGGCGTTTAGAGATCATGGTTTCGAGCCAAGTAAGCATTTAAAAGGCAATCACCAGCACCTTGAACTGTGCCTGAAAATGACTATGGTGAGGTCTGGAGCACTCCTGGAGCAAAGCTAGGCTCAGGAGCACTACCAAACTACCAACCTGACTTTTCAAAGGACACACACTCCATCCAGAACTGGCTGACTTTTAGGTTAGCTATCTGACAGCAGCATCTCTGTTTTGTCTGGATGTTAAATCTCCCTTAGATCAGCCAATTAGTACAGCAAGAGTTGGACTCTTGAGCTAGCTGCTTATTACTCAGTATCCCATTCCTCTAAAATATCACTATCCATTGGTTAACTGTGAAGCTTTGCTGGACACTTAGAATGTTTTGTGTTAATTTAGACTAATTTAGAGAACTTTTATGTGTATGTACTTTTATGTGTAGTTCATTCTCCTTTATTGGCAAAATGGTGAGCCATGATTTTGCATCTGGCTCTGGTTAGTGGAGTTTAAGATTAAAAGTAAAGTAACACCTACACATTTGAGGTCACTATTGTTCCAAATTAAGGGCACAATCCTATACATGTCTAGACAGGAAAAAAGAAGGGATTGGGATTCAGATCTCTCAGGGTCAAGTTCAACATTCTCTGTTGAGAAAGATTTGTTACCACATATGTTCTGCAATACTATTTTTATACATGACTGTTCATGAAAACTGATGGAATGCTGTGATCTTTTGATTGTTGGGCATTCTCCAAGGAAGTTCATTGAAGTCAAGAGAGAAATAATGAATTAAAGCAACACATCTATTCTGCACTATTAATTATAATGCATTCAAACAAGTTTAAAATGTTTAACTAATTATTTTTAAAAAAACTAAAAAGAGTATTTGGCAGCAAGAAATTCTATTTGCTCTTACCCAGAGATGCTATTCCAAACATTTTATAAAAATCCCATTCTTTGGCATATCTAATGAAATCATCAGGATCAGGACTTTGGTTTGAATCCTGTAGCTGTAACCACCTGAGATAAGCTTCACAAAGCAAACAGAATATGCAGAGCTTCCCATGAATCTAAAATATAAAAGAACTTTAGCATCAGAAGCAGGCATAATTCAGAAACTTTTTCCAGCAACAGGCCTATGTGCATCATGTATGGAAACCCGAAGAGGGTAAGGGGTGGTATATATGTTTTTAAAACAAACAAACAAGCAAGCATTTTTCATCAAATTATACAGATGCACAACTCATCAGCTCTCACATGCTAGCAGACACAAAAGGCCAGAAGATGAGACCAGAAAGGCAAAGCATGACTCTGTGTACACGGAGCTACCTATCCCCCTTTCTCCAACTTCAGACTGGCCTTGATGCACTCCAACTTGGAACTAACAGGGCAGATAATACAATCCTCTGCAGCTTATCCGCCCTCCCACCACTGCTCCCTCCTTCTCATCTGTCCCAGACTCCAGGCATAAGGAATGTGGATTAAGGGAGACAGGAACACTTCCTCTGTGCATTGGACTGTCTGGTTTACCCCAGTGACTGCCTTCCTGATTGAGTATAGAGTCTCAACTGGGAGATGAGAAAGGCTGAAGCAAAGAGGAAGGCACGGTCCTCTTCCCCCAATCACACTGACTCCACCTGTCCAACTTTACCCTTTTTTAAAGCAAGCAGCTACCGTAAAACTGGGCCCATATTCATCTTCGGCACACAGCAAGGCTGGGCAAATGCTAGGTGGGGATGCATATTCTGGAAGAGCGCACCAGGCTGAGGCCATGCCTGCTAGAACCCTGATACCACTCGCCAGGTCTGGCACCAGTCTTGGGTGGACCTTCAGCATACTGATGCTGATGTTCCCCCAACTTACACCAATTGGCCCCAGTATTCTCTGCTCGCCTGTCCCACTCCTCTGGCAGGCTGGCTGTTTACCTGGTTTTGGCAAAAGTGGCTGCAGTTGTTTGTACTTAGCCAGAGGGGAGTAAGTGGGTGCTCAGGAGCACGAACAGCTTGGGAGACATTTTTATATCCTACAATGCACTGCATTTTGACACTGATGGCAGTAGCACTGGGCAAACTAGCCAGCCAGTCCGCCCACCCACAGAAAGCAGGCCTAAGTGTGAATGCAGGACTACCAGTGGGGGAATGGCAAGTGGCAGTGGCCAGACACTGCGGGGTGGACAGCTGTATGCCAAGGACTGATCAAAGCCTGGTGCCATTCTTGCTTTAAAATAAAATGGAGGGGATTTCCAATCCCTGACCAGCAGCACGAGGCCACAGTGTTCACACGCACATGCGCAGAACATCTTTGTGTCTATAATCCAGTGACAGAGGCCATGTTACTGTGGTTACTTTTTGTCACTATACCTTCAATCTTTTTCTTAGAAGAGCACCAAAATTAACCTTTTCAGAAGGGAAACATTAAAGCATGACTATAATAGATCCTACCAGGATTACAACAGTTTAACACCATTCATAATGCAGCATGTTAATCAGTCTTCCACTCCCAAGAAGGATTTAGATAAATATCAACAATGAAAGGAAAAAAACATCTAGGCACCAAAAATGCCTACTTCTAATTGAATTAGAAGTAAGTCTGCTTGATCCTGGCTGTTGAATTATGTTTCCAACTCTTTTGGAAAGTATTCAGCTGCGGCCCTAGGGCTAGTCCTTTAGAGAAAAGTTCTAAAAATTGCAAGGCAACCACAGAGACTGACTTCTGTATGCTCTCTTTGTGGCTCGAAATTGTCTACACAACAGGACAGTGTAACTAAAACTAAATAGATTTACTTGCTCTGTTTTCAACAGTAGAAAGATTTATCAGCCTACAAAAGGTAAGTATTTAGATACTGTAAGAGGTAAAAGGCTTTCCTCCTCTGCAACTGGAACAGAGTTGTTCTAATAAGCAATTGTGCTTTGGTCCCAGTACATTACAGAAATGCAACAGAAGGAATAGTTAGTTATTTGAAGCATGAGTTTTAGATGTGCACATTTCCCTTCTGCTTTCTCCTCTTTCATTCCTGTGAAGAAGCAACAGTTTTTGTAAAAATTTAATATCCTTATATCCACCATTCCTTCAGAGAACTCAAAATGATGAACAAGCAAGATAAAAGACACAGTTAAAATGCCTCTTTCAATTTAACACTAGAACACTGAAACAAGAACAAGGAATAAATAACTGGAAGCTTCCCCTTGAGAATAAACTGGTTTCCCTTTACATTCAACCTCAGGTTGACCGCGGTTAACAAATCAGGATGGTAAACTGTGGTTTTCTGTTTCAGGGTCAGAACCATGCCTGAGTGAGGGCTGTTCCATTGCTACCTTTTTCAGAGATGATAGTTGCTTGCCTCTCCTTGCCATCAGTGTACACGCCACTTATACACAGAAATGCTCTGTTTACAATAACAGTCAATGTTACTAACTTGTCAGATTTTTAAATTACCAAACTATTTCCATAGCCTAGTGGTTGGTTGTGCTGTCCAAGTGCCAGGTTAATTATGATTTGTTCAGTTATATGTGTTTTATGAGTAGCAGACTGACTTTCAAGTCTTGCTATTTTTTGAAATCATAAAACAGGCCACAACTTTAAAAGCAGAAAGCCAACCAAAGTTAAAATTGTTAGTACATGGAAAGAAAAAAGTAAAATCCTTTCCAGACAAATTATATTCATCATGTTTTTTAGCACCCTGTGGCAAGATCTGCATGCCTTACAGTAAATTAAGAAAAATCTCAGGGAACTTACATTTATCTTTGTGTTGAACAAAATATGTCTGTAAGCCTGTGTTTTGCATAAGATAGCATTAATTAAGATGATAACAGGATCATATTCTATATATTTGTCTACTGGCTTCTGGCAGGATTTCTGAAAGTAAAAGAACAAATGCATATTAAAGAAATTCACACTGATATTAGAATAAAAAATGCTTCCTTTTTTCTTAAGAATTCTATAAAGCTCCTATTTTGAACAGAAGATGTCTTAAACTGTTCTGATCTTTACATTATTTTCATCTGCAATTTTTGTCACAATAGCAAAAAATTAATGATCGTTTAATGTCCATTCAACATTAAAATGTAGCCATGGTGAAAGGTTAAACTGACTACATACAATGCATACAGAGTTATGGAATGAATTGGCAGACTAGACACTCATAAAAACGTGTAACTATTTTTTAAACCACATGAAGAACTTGAATTTAAGTTTCAATATTTTATTATACACTATCCAGAGGTAGTTATTTTAAGAGTAACTCTATACAAATTGTAAACTACATGGCTCTGTTTTTATTTAAAAGAGGATCTGTAAGGGCCATAAAACTATGTGTTGTACCAAGTTATTTCTCTGGCTTGTTCGGCAGGAGAGACAAGCCAGAGAGCCCAGTTCAGAGACACTACAGGAGAACCAAGCCATAAAGAATCTCTTGATTGTTTAGCTGGTCCTGCCTGGAGTAAGAGCAACTGGACAGCATGCACCATCATGCTGCCTTATTCAGGACTCACGGGTTTTAAAAGTGTTCCATTAGACTCTCTGCACAGTAAAATGGATAGGGTTAGTTATGGCTGTTAGCAGTGTGTGGCATGGAATGCCACATCAATTACATTTTGATCCATTTTCTCAAGCTGAACTGATTTTAGGAGGAAATTCAGATTTAAAAATTGGTAAGAAAGTGTTTTCATGGCACACTTGTGTGGGGAAGCTGGTTTTTACCTTGGATTAATTAGGGGATGCTGTTGACTTTTTTGTGTGTGTTTTGTTGTGTTATTCTCAGCTTTGCCTGTTAGTGTTGAATGGCACTTACATCTATAACTCTTGTTAGAATTTAGGTTTGGCCCTTCCATTTTTGCAGCTTCAGCCTCTCCTTCCTCATTAGAAACATTTATCAGTGATACCAGCTCATGACCCATTTTTATAAATACTTATTATCAGTTAATAAATATGATACATGGGGTCTTACACAGGAGTAGACTGTCCCATTTTGCCTAATCAATGGATTGCCACTTAAGCATCTGTATCTGAAGGAGCTCAGGTTACCTCTTATTCAGCAAAGATTCTTGTTCTACATACCACCACATCTCCTCAATAAAGGTTTGCCAGCTAATTGCTGGAGCTGTAACATCGTTATTGTGTCTTTTAATCATAAGTTTCAGCAATGCCAATAGTTGCTGGTTTTGGGAGTTATTATATGTATAAACTCTGAACCATCTTGAAATTTCTGATGTTCATCTTCTCTTAAATTATCTACCTGGTTCCTGGAAGTTAATGCTCAGGCAATGTAAATGGATTTTTCACACCCTTTTGACAGCTAAAAGGCTGATATTACAACACTGGAAAGATAAATTCTATAGATTGTAACAGTGCAGCAAACTGAGGACCTAATGACACTTGCATTATCTGGATACATACATGTATACAGGGTTGGTCAAAAGCAAGCATACAGCACTAGTCATCTTTAGTGCCTAAGGTGCTCAAAACGTCCTCCATTAACATTGCAACATTCTTGGAACTTGTCCCCAACACTGTGACACAAATCCAGTTAGTACCAAAGTCGATAAATGCTTGCAAGATGAGCTCTTTCAATCTGTCCACTATGTGAGGTCCTCCATGACCCAATTAGCACTGTATACTTAATTTGGGCCCACCTTGTATTTGGTCAGTCTTTGTCAATTTTTTTTAGAATTTTAGAAGGCTGTATTTTCATATATGCACACACACAGAAGCTAAAATTGACATATTCAAATCTTAGTAGTTACATTTTTCTTTTATTCTTATGGTTTGGCTATATTGCTATTTTGGAAAAGTAAATAATTTTTTAAATGTGCTGCCATGTAGTGCCAACCAAACCACTATCGTAATCTTCAGCTGAAATCTTACTTTTCATTCAGCAATCTCTAAAATAGACAGGCTTGGCCACTTCCCACCTGACAATGAAAACAGTATGAACGACCAGTCATATCCTGGCATTCATGTTAGGTAACATATATTTAAACTGACAACTAGGTTTGATGTACTAAATATTAACTGTAGTCTTTGACTATATTCTTTTTGAAGAAATTACTTTTGTCTGAATGACAAATAACATATAGTGAAGACTCTAAAAGATTGCCTCATGTTAGTTTTTATACTAACAAAAGAAACTTTAGATGCTAGAGAATAATAAACTGAAGGACAATTTGACATTGAAGAGATATGATGGTAGTTAAAACTTTTATTCTCTCTTCTCACTGCAGCTCCTGTCTGGCTGTCTCATCAACTACCAGATGTTTATCACTCATAAAAAAGAACTGTTCATTTTAAGAGAGCAATCCTATGGCCCCTAGGCAGTGTCTGGAGTGCCACAGGATGTTGCAGATCTTCTCCTCTGCACCCATAGACAAAGCTATGAACCTGGAGGAGATTAGCTTGCTCTCTAGTTTTGACCTTGTAATAATAGTTGGAAAGGAAGAAAAGGGGGCATGTGGGTGGGCACAGAGGGGAGAAAAGAAGCCAGGATAAACAGTATGGCTTATGGCCTCTCCAGTTCCCTACTCTCCCTCTCACTGAAAGGTTGGTCACCTAGATATGCTCAGAGGCCGATCTGTCCTCCTCTTACCCAGCCTGTATCCTGCTGGGTAAGGTGGAGAGCACAGGAAAGGTAAAGGGCTCCAAACTCAGAACACTCTGTCAGAAGGGCAACTCGCTTGACTGCATGCTAAGGGTATCAAAAAATTGCACAAGCAGGAAGCAGCTCATGCAACTGTCTCCTCCTCCACCTTCCTCCTGTATCTCCCATTCCCAAAATGCACAGAGGGTTAGAAGGCCTCCTGAATAGAGTGGGCTGAGTATCACATGGAACTATAGTACAACAGAGAAGCATCTGAAACTTGGCAATAGGATTTTGTGCTTTGAGGAGCTCTGCAAGCATAAGATGCATCTGACTGATTTTAGGCATTTCCTGTCCTTGAACTGCCACGTGAGTTTGAGAAGACTTTCTGGAGAAAAAAATTTTGTGGGTTAGTGGGGAGGTTTACAGGGAGCTACAATGTGAAAGAAAGAGAAAGTCCACTTGCACAAGCTGCTTTCTGCTTGTACAAGCACTGAACATAACCATAACAATTCTATTCTGTTACGTACTGGGCAGCAAAAATAGCCAAACAGACCACATGCTAGCTTCTATCTCCTTCTCATCACAGAGTCTTGTGGCATCTCAAAGACTAACACATTTATTATGGACTCCGCTTCAGGAAATCTTATGCCATAAAAACATGTTAGTCTTTAAGGTGCTACAATGTGTGTTGAATATCGAAAGTGCTAAAGAACAAAGTAACTGAAGCGTATATGGTCAGAGAATACTGTGCAGCAGGACCATTTATCAGAGCATCTGATCCCATGGGAAGTATGGGAACGTTAGTGGATCGAAGCTGCATAGCATTGGGGCTGGGGCAACTGGAACATAAACAGATCCTGTACTTGGGTAGACAAAAAGAACTGGAGGATGAGAGATGGAAAATCTAAGTGTATAATGAAATTTATATCCAACAATGCTTGTATCATGACACTTTTGGCAGTTGAACTATGAAAGAGGTAAAAAACAAATTTAAAAAGTTACATAGCTAACAGTCTGATGAGCATGAAACTAGAATCCAAGAGCTGAATCCAAAATGGTATGTTTAAATGCAGTGTGAAATCTATTACGGAACATACTATTATTACTACAATTAGATAGTGTCATGCTGACTTTTCAAAAACAAGGAACACAGAAGACATGTTCTGAAAGCAATAGATTAAATACAGGTGTAAGAGGAGAGACTGAAGGAAGCCTCCACCCCTACTCAGCTTCATTGGGCATTGTGCAGACACAAGATATAGAACAGTAAATTGCATATATAAAATATAAACACAGCACATTAAACCCTGGATTTCAGAATACTTAAGTTTAGATAATGTTTAGCTATCAAAATTAATGATTGCTCGCTTGCTTTCCGCTCATATATGTCTGGTTAATCCTATGCAAACAGAACTCCCATTGCCCAACTATTTTAGGAATATACAGGCTGTTTGTATAAATGCTTATATTCTGTGAAGGTTTAATAAACTGAAGCAATTCCCTTCCCCTTAAACACACAATGGAGTGATTAGGTTATTCCTCTGAATGAGAAAAGCATGACAACTGAGCATTTAGAAAGCACTGTTCTCAAATAATTGTCCAGATATGTCAAGAGTAACTATTGTTCATTACAGCTGCAGTGGTGTAGATTAAGCACAGCTTAAATATTGATTTATATCAGTAAGGGATTTCCTAGAAGATACAAACGAAAAAAAAAAAAAACCCTTGGTAAAACAGCATGAGCTGATCCAATGCCAGTGGATCCAATCCAGCCATGACCTCAGCATGAGACAAGGTCAGAGTTAGGAGGATTACTGTTTATTATTTCTAGAATGCTTAATGTATACTAAGTACTTTATATGCAAATCCAAAACAGTCCCTGCTTACAGTTTTACAATTTCGTAAGATAAAGAAGGATACAGTGCAAGAGAGAAATGGGTAGTAGTATCCAGTGGCTTTCTGTGTATTGCAGGAAAGAGGTCATGTGCTCAAAATCTGTTTTCCAGTTTATCAAGTGACTACCCTGGTTCAATGGGAAGCAGGACTTCCAGATATTTACAAGATCTTTTCTCTGAAGCTCTGACTGGTGCTGCAAAGAAACAGTCTCTTTGTATTTGTAGCCCAGGACAAATGAGAGAAGATCCCAGAGGTCCAAGGACAAGAGAGGTTGGCGGAAACCACAAGGTATGGCTAGTAAGAGGCATCTTTTACACAATGTTCAGGTCACTCAATTCCCACCTCACTGATTTGCTGCAAATGTGAAGGATTGTAGTCAAAAACAAAAAGACTAACCGGGATGCAAAAATCACTGAGGAAAATTCGACATACCTGGAACATTGATATATGAAAGGCAATAGGAAACCTTGACGAACCAGAGAGAGGGTAGGAGGAAATTGGCTAGTGTGATGTAGTAGTTAAGAATGCAGGATTTGGGGGCAGGCAACATGGGTACTAGTCCCCATTCAGCCCTATGGCCAACTAGGTGATCTTGGGCCAATCACAGACTCTCAGCCCAACCTACCTCACAGGGTTGTTGTTCTAGGGATAAGACTGAGAGCAGCAGCAGAATGATGCATTCATAAGAAAAAAAGCAGGATATAAATCTAATAAACAAATGAATAAGTGTGCAGTTGTGCACAGACTTCTAATTCCCTGGAACAACCTGATGTACTGACTGAATATATGTCAGAGTAAGGGGCAAAAATGGGACTATGTTGTACCTTCTGAGGATGGTGTTCTTAAAAACATAAGGATCACATCCAACATACAAAAACCTGGCAGTAATAATTAGAATGAACATTAAATAAAATACTGAGCAAACCCCCAGAATTTTGTAGAGAACTGTCATTGCCCACATTGTTTAATATATGTAGAGAGGATGCAGTTGAATTGGTCATTAAATAGACAGAAAATAAATATATGTTATGCTTTATGATTTTACTGTAATTGCTTACATAGAAGAAAAGCTATAGATCATAGTAAATAAAATAAATTCAGCTTCATATGAAAAGAAATTCAGATGGAGCTGTTAGCGTCAACCATGACCACTTTACCCCCATACAAATCCTGGAAATAAGAAAGAAAAAAAATCTGTTTTAAGGTTATGCAAGGGTTGTTGGACTCTTCCACCTTACCCTCCAACACACCCTTTCACCTTATGTTCACCCTATAGAACAAGCCACAAGAACTCCCATCCCAATCCTGCATATTCGTAATGGCAGATACCATGTGCTACATCTCCTTCCAGATAAATTAATTCACAATGGGCTGTTGTTTCACACAAACTGTCCAAATCACCTATTAGTCTGAGATGTATTTATTTACTTAATTTCTGCACTGCTCAATAACCAATAAGGCTCTTTGGGTGGTTTACAAATATCAACATATACAATAAAACAGTGATATTAAATATACATATGTACTAAACAATAAAATAACACACAATAAAAACCACCACAGCTGCCACAATTCTGATTAATCCAAAGGTACAGTAGCACTAAAGCATAACAAATGTCCTATAAAAAGTTTCTTAAAATTATTTAACTGTTAAAATATTGGGCAAATAAAAAGGTTTTGCCTGGAGCCAAAAGGAGTACAGATAGGGTGCCAGATGAACTTCTTTGGGGAGCTGAATCCAAAGTTGGGATGCCACCACCAATAAAGCCCTTCTCCTCATTGCCACCCTCTTTGTTTCCTTCAGAGGAAGTTCTCTGAGAAGGGCCTCAGATGACAAATTTAGGGTCTAGGCAGACACATATGGGAAGGAGGGGGGTCCTTTAGATAACCTGGCCCAAGTCATTTAGAACCTTAATTATGAATGTTAGCACTTTGAATTGAGCCCAGACTTCAATTGGTAACCAGTGAAGTTGGGAAAGGACTGGCGTTATATGTTGATATCTGCTTCTTATCAGCTACCAGTCCTCATCAGCAGCCTTACTGCCCTATTCTGGACCAACTGGAGTGTCTGGTCCATCTTCAAAGGCAGCCCCATGTGGAGTGCATTACAATAAACCAACCCGGGAACTTTCCAGAGCATGGATTACTGTTGCTAAGTTCCATCTGTCCAGACAGGGTTGTAGTTGGTGAATCAGCTTAAGCTGATAGATGGTGATCTGGGCCACTGAATCCACCTGAAATTCTAGTGAGAATTCAGCATCCAGGGGCACCCCCAAACTACAAACCTTGTCCTTTAGGAGAAGTGCAGCACCATCCAGGACAAGGGAAATATCACCCATCCAGACTGAAGATCCTCCCACCAACATCCCCTCCATCTTATCTGGCTTAAGTTTTAGTTTACTGGCCCTCATCTGACCCATTATCAAGCCCAAGCAGATTCAAAACTACACTGTCTAGGTTAAATAAAAAGGGGGAAAGAGCTGAGTGTCATCAGCATACTGATGGCACTTCAGCCCACAACTCCAGATGTTGTACTCCATAGCACAACTGCCATGACACAGGGCAATAAACTGCAGCACCACGTTCTGGAATTGGATGATCAAGTAGGAGCAGAACCACTCCAGAACCAAAGCAGTGCCTCTAACTCCCAACCCAGCCAGCCTATCCAGAAGGATACCATGATCGATAGGGTTGAAAGTGGCTGATAGGTCCAAGATAACCAACAGGGTTGCACTCCCCAGCAAAGGTCATCCCACAGAGAGACGAAGGTAGTCTCTGTTCCAAAATGAGACCTGGACTGAAATGGATCAAGATGGAGATAACTATCATTCCAGATTTTTTAAAATATTTCAGGATTAGTTTAAACAGCAAACTGTGAAGAAAACTATGGAAAAGCACAAGCTGTATATGTTGAAATCTCACAAAAATTACTTTAATGCTACTTCACCTATCTTATACTAAAATATGGATTGAATGGATCCATACAGAAACTGTGGTTAGAAATCACCCACCCCTTCTCAAGTTACTTCTGAATGAGGAAGACATGATTTGGTACGAACTTGCAAGGAGTCATGAAGACATACTACAGAGGCCTCCAAGTCATCATGAAATGTCTTCACAAAATTTGATCCTGTGTGTGGCAAAATTAAAACACGCATTCCTCACAAATGTCTGCAGCCTAGGGCTTGCCCTATGCTCTTCCAAATTTAAGTGAACACTGTGTTTATAGCAAGAAGCAGTTTGCCACAACCCATATTGCTTTTATTTCTCCATCTAGGTTTTATTGTAGCATAAAAATGGGTAGGATTGAATAGAGGGGAGGAGGTGATGTACTCTCATGTTCTTATTCTCATTTACTCTAGATTTTTGGATAAAACTACTTTCCTCATTACACCCAACAGAGCTGATAGAAATGGCAAGCCAAAACCGTTGCGGGAAGAGGCAACAAGTTCCACACCCCTGGCGAACGCTCCCGGACAATTCTCCCGCTCCCCCATTTTTCCCTTTGGTGGTTCCACCTATTCCCTAGATCCATTTCCTTCGGCCCTGTGAATTCATGCCTGCTTTTCCCTGCCCAAAATTCATTTTCCTCCTCACACAACTCACGCAGATGGAAATGCGCAACACGCCACGCTGGTAGTCCTTGTACAACTCTGTCGCTTTCCGATTGCACTCGATACACCTATAGACACCAGACTCTTCCATCTTTCGCACTCAAAATGACCCGACTCAATCCGTTACCACAGAAACAGCCGTCTCTTCCTTTGAGAAACTTTTTCTTCTTTTTTTTTTTTGCCTCGCTCGCTTCCGGCTTCCGTTCGTAAAACGGAGAATGGCAGGCGGAGCAACCGCAAAGCATCTTGGGGCTCGTAGTTTTATGCTCTGTCAATTGTTCGGCAAAGGCCCTGGGCTAGGAACTACCATTCCCAGCAAAGAAACCCGCCCATCTATTCCCCGCCGAGGCCCAGGGAGGGAAAAGACCAAGGGAGGAGGGGGGGGGAATTATTCTGCGCAGGCGCGCTATGAAGATGGCAGCTGCCGCGGGCTCTTGGTGCGGTTGGCCAAGAATTGCTGCGCCGCCGCCGGGGCCGCGTTGGACGCTGCTGTTGTGGTTGCTGGTTGCAGCAAGGCCGCCGCCAGGGCACGCCCTGACTGAGCAGTACCCACCGTTTTCCCTGCTCAGGCAGGAGCTGCACCGTCAGTCTCAGGGCCAGGGGAGCAGAGGCTGCCCGGAGCTCCTGGCGGCTGACTGGGGCGGGGAACAATATGCGGCCGCTGGCGACTGTGGTGAGTGATGGGCGGAAGGAAAGAGCCCGGCTCATGATTCTCTGGCGGGAAAAACTGCGCCGCTCCTTCACGCCCTGCCTGAGGAAGAAACGCGGCTGAGGTGTGGCGATGGTGCATAGGGCTGGGCTGCTTAAGGCTGCAGGTGTCGCAGCCGTACTCCTGAATATGCTTTCTCGACGTAAGCAGCCGCTTGCGAGTTAAGCGAACCTAGCACAACTGATAGAGAGGTGGGCTCGCTCAGCATTCCCCAGTTTGGTAGCTCTCTGGGGGTGTGGGGCTGCAGCTCCCATCTTTCCCGTGCAGTATGCACCTCTTAAGTTAAACCTGGAGTAGCAAATAGAGGGATGCATTAGCCTAGACTTCCACAAGCTAGCATCTTGCACATGGATTGGATGCTCCAGGTGTGATGGACCTTCTAAATATGTTGGGAGTAGCAGGCCAACTCATCTGGAGGGCATCAGTTTGGGGAAGGCTGGACTAATCACTTCTTTCATCCGTTGTGCTATTTTTTTCCTTGAGTGTGGAACTTTCAGTGCAGCAGTGATTTTTCTTACTTCACTACAGTCAGTGTTATAGTGGAAGTGGACTTGCAGAATGAAAGCACTGGGACTTTTTGATTAGCGTGTATGACAAGGTCACCTGCCACCCACCTCAAGTTTCTTGCTCCCTGTAAACTTAGCTTCAAGCCTCAAAGCAGCTGGGAAGAAATCAGTGTTCCCAAAAACAATAGATTGTCCCCTCTTGTAATACAAAGGATTTTGGGTAGCTTAGACTTGAATGAGGAATAAAAACTCCTTAGGTTTACAAATGATCAGGTCCTGGTAGAGATGAAAAGTGGTTTCTTTACTTAGGTTAGGGATAAAATAGGGATAGGTTAGGGACACTTAGGGATAAAAAGTGTATAAAAGGGGAGTAAAAAATGTTTCTTCACTTCAGGATTAAAAAAAAAGTGTCTCCATGCTGCTGGGAAAATAAACTCTTGGAAGATCTTGACCTTTCAGTGTTGCGCTACTTCTTGTTATTTGCTGCCAAGTTGCCTCTGACTTAGGGTGACCCTTATGAATGAATGCCCTCCAAAATAACAAGTCCTTGACAGCCCTGCTGAAGCTGATTAAGGGATATGCTTCATCTTTTTGTTCCCCTCTCTCCTGCATTTTCAGGTCTCTTCAGCCCAAGTCTAATAAATGAGCCACTGCACTGCCTTTGCTACCTCACTTTTCTGTGACTGCCACCTGATCCTAATAAATTAGTGTATGCACTTGTACATAATGCCCCCAAGTACATATAGACATGAATCAAAACCATTATCTGCTTGTTTGAATCTCTTTAGGGCACAATTATGAGAACTGTTGTGATACATGCCAGAACTTCAAAATTTCTTGTTTTGTTATTGAATACCATTCAGAACTTAACTCTTGACAGCACTGCACAGGAAAACCAGAACTGAAGGGACGGGCAACATGGTGGTCAGCTAGAAAAGGCTGTTACCCTTCAGCCTCTCCCAAAAGGACAAGACAGTTTATATGCTTTGAAGAATCTATTGGTCAGAACCATCAATATACAGAGTGCTTTATGCAGTAGCATAAAAAGAGGGAAAGTCTTTGCCCCGAGGAACTTGAAATCTAAATGTGGCTCAGAGGTAGAAAGTGATGCAGTGGAGGAAGGAAAAGATGAAGAGCAAATTAAATGCCCATACTTCCAGTTCCAGATATATACTAATGGCTTCTTCACACATTGCATTTTTAGGTGTATGCCTAATGTGAAGAGTGAATGCAGCAAATTTATGTTTAAACGTATGAATATCATACAGGTACATTAATAAAAGAGCTAGGATTGGTCACTGGCCTCTATCAGGTGTATTCTTGGTGACAAACCCAGGCTTGCTGTGATATAATGTATGACGTGACTGCCAGGGCAATCTTCTATAACCTGGCATTGAACCACAACTCCCTGTATGCTTGGCAAAGTTATTTATTTGTAGTATTCTTGCCCTACTCTTAAGATGGAAAGGCTCCCAGATCAGTATGACCAGTAAGAGAAGAACAAGCCTACAGGCTTACAATCTGATAGACAAGTCACAGAAGGAAATGTGGAGGATGAGAGAAGAAGAAGAAAAGCAAATTTAAGTACCAAGTTTTAAAGTTAAATAGTGATTCCTGTAATGACCAGCTGGAAGGGAGAGTTGAAGTACAATGTAACTAGTGTCCTAGCAGAATCAGTGATTCTGCTTCTGACCTATCTGGCTGCTACAGCCTGATAGAATATGGTTTGTTTGTTTATTTATTAAAAGCTTTTGTATACCGCCCTATTATACAAGATCTCCGGACGGCTTACAGTATTTATATGGTTAACATATGTGGCTGACTTAAAAAATACAACCTGGCTGTTTTCATTGCATACCACAAGGAACACATTTTGGCAGAGTGTGGCTTTGCAGCCCATCCTAAGTTAAGATGGAGTGACAGTGTTTGCACAAGGATTGTGGCTTATCTATGCTATCATGGGTTGCAATATTTGCTGGTGATCATTTTGAATGTTTAAGCTATGATAGCAGCAGCTTGTGCCATCTGAATACAGCAGCGTGGGTTGTTTGATGGATAAATATTCTAAAACCCATGTCCTGTTTCCAAGTTATGTGAAGGTTGTCAAGTTCAGAGGCAACTTGAATTTTTAAGGTGGTATGTATGGATGCTGTAGATCATCATGGCACTCAGAAAATCCTGCATTTTTCAAAAGTTTACAAGAGTTTGCAGTATTATCATCTTTTAGATTTTGATTAGTCACATCACTTGCACATATGCACTCTAATAATTTGTATTTGCTAGTCACAAATGGAATATTAGCCAAATTTGGAACAAGAATGTAAATGATACATACAGTTTAATATGCAGCATATTTTAGGTATGCAGAATGTTTCACATATGTTCTTGAACATTATACTCAAAACCTTTTTACTGTGGGAAAGTGCAATTGGAGGACTTGATAGTGTTCCCTAAAGAGTGGGTGAGAGCATTTGATTCCTTGTCATCATGATGTCTGCTCATTATCATCCAGTAGAGTTTGTTTCAGTAGTTAAACACTTTCTTGCTTTATGCTTTGGGGTAGAGCATCTTAAACCCTTAAAGACATGCTATCCAACTTGTGGGATATTTTGCAGATAGGGCACTTGTGTCTGTGCTGATGGTGTTACTGTTCATGGATAGGACTTGTGTACCATCTAATCACTTTATTTCAGAGTAACTTGGAGAACCTATGGATAATTTTTTAAAGGACTGAGGCCTTTCATTTGTCTTGAGATCCTTTGTCCATCCTGGCTACAGAAACTGGTTAAAGCTAGGCCAAGTGTTTAGATCCTAAAAATGGTTAATCCTTCCTTGAGAGATGGTGTCCACACCGGTGCTCTAATGGAAGCAGTGGCAAGGATCTTGGTGATCATGAAGAGATAACTCTTATAATTTGGGTTAACAAAAGCCAGTTGTCTTAATTTGCCATTCTTGGGCAAGCTGTTGGAGAAAGTGGTGGCTTTTCCGCTTCCAGCAGTGGTGATAACTGATGAGTATGAAGCCTTTCAGTATGGTTTCAGATCTGGTTATAAGGTAGAAACAGCCTTGGTCATTCCAGTGGTGACTTTGGGGAATACCTTGTGTGAACTTGTGGGGAGTACAAATCTCTTAGTTCCTCTGGACCCATTTCAATACCAGTAACTGTGATATCCTTCTGAGCCATCAGCCTGCATTGGGTTTAAGATGCATGGTGTTATGGTGGTTCTGCCTTCCTTGAAGACTGATCTCAGAAGGAAGTTTTAGGGGATTTTTGTTCTGTTCCAATCTATTGCAATTGGCCTGTGATGTACCACAAACTTCTTTCTTGTCTCTCATGCTTTTTAATATCTATGAAAATAAGGGGAAATCACACAGAGGTTTGGGCTGAAGGATTGTCAATATGTGAATGATACTCTGCTCCACCTTTTGTTTCCACCTTTCCCTCCCAGGAAGGCTGTGGAACTAATGAATAAATGCCGCAAGGTGGTCTTGGGACAAATAAGAGCCAACAAGCTGAAACAGTCTAGGCATGATAGAGAAGCTGTACATAAGGAAACATGTGGATAGAGGTTTATAGCTAGTCTTGGTTTCCCTCAAAGATCAATACTCATTTTATGAGTTCTGGACTCTGTCCCGCAGATCCTTTTTTTTTTTTTTTTGTTCACATTTTAAACTTTGCAGAGTTCAAAACCTGTAGCCTGGATACAAAAGCTACCCAGATATTGATTGATTGATTGCATTTATATACCACCCCAATCGTCCAGAGGGTTCTCTGGGTGGTTTACTAACATTAAAACCGCACCAATCCTAAAATAAATAAAGTAGCTACAAGAAAGATACAATGCATCCCTTTCTACTTCCCCACTTACTTAAAAGTAAAACATTGATGTGGTTCAAATCTTTTCTAGTTCAGAGATTATTGTTAAGCTCTCACAAATATTAATCCCTATATATTATACTTTTTCAGT